TGGGGAATTCTGGGAGGTGAAGTCCACACATCTTCAAGTGGCCAAGGTTGAGAAACACTGCCCCAAACTGTAAACTACCCACACAAACCAGGATCGCACCTTTACGATCATGGTCACAGGCCTCCATTAGAAACCACAATGATGTCACAAGGGTCACAACAGCATCTCCCAAGTGACACAATTCATGCCATTTGCATATTGAGGTCATTGCCTTCTCCCTATGCACACCTATGAATGTGCTTAAACACAATGGGTTTATGGACACCCATTCATTTCAGACCAGGATCATGTGACTTCAGTAGCCCCGAGTGTGCAGGGATGCAACAGGTTTTGTGATCCCATACAGTTCACACTGTAGAACACCCTTCTGGGTGAATTCATCCCACTGTGATGTATCTAGTAAGCCATGATTAAGTAAACCATGGGCATTGTAGAGCCAAGGGGGAATGAAGGACAGTGTGTGTCATCAGGCAAATGCTGTGACCTATGCACTGGCATCAGATGTTGTGACACAAGTACATAATTGGGACCATCGTGTGATGATGTCAATGTGCATATCATTTTGGCATCTTCCTGGCTTGTTCCAGCCATCACTAACCATGGTTTTGTTTGTTGCATGACTGCAGCAGTCAGACAGAAGCCAGTCAAAAATTATTTCTCAACTGGGTGCCCACCAGATGTGCAAAGGAGTGGATTAAGGTATTGGATGTGGACAAGAGGAGATCCACATTCAAGTCCCCACTTGGCCACAGAGCTTCCTGGCTGGCTTAGAGCTAGCCCACCTCACCGGGTTGTTGTTGTTGGGATAAAATTAGATTAAAAATTAAAATCTTCATTTCTCTGGCAAAGTTTTTAAATAAACTTTTTAAAGTGTTAGTAATGTTTTTAAATTGATGCTTTATGTATTTATATATATTTATGGTTTTAATGTTTTGTGTGAGTCGCCCAGAGTTCCCCCATTGGAGGGAGATGGGCGGGGGAGAAATGTAATAAATAAATGAATAAGCTGGAACATCAGTGGAACAGGACAGGTTTCTCTTACTTTGTGACATTGTGATTCTCCCATAGGAAATAAATTTGCACAACCCCCCCATATAAAAGTAATAACTTACCCAAGCAAAGTGGGAGCTCTACAAACTTTTGCAATCCCCCAGGGGGGGCAAGATCCACAGTTCTGAGATCCCTCAGAATAATAACTTTCCAGGAAAAATGAGGAACGAATGGAGAGGCAGATATTACCCCAAAATTAACTGATGCTCACATTTGCATGGCCACAAGGAACAGTTAATAACTGCACGAAGAGGACCATTTAGGGATCTGGTTTCCTGAAGGCCCTTTCAGATTACATCGGCCACCTCGCTTCGCTACAGAGGGTTATATAAATCTTTGGGAAAGGCGAGCCTCTAACAGCAAAATGGAGATGATTCAGTGCAGTGGGAACCAGTAAGAAGCCGCCGGTTCCTCCAGCCAATTTTTTTCACAATGGGAGAAAGCACTTTAATGCAATTGTCTTTGCAGATTGATTTATGAGACTCTTTTGGGGACTCCCAAAGAACTTGTGCAGCTGAATTTTTACAGCCTGGGCTGAGATTCTCTTCTCTGTACCGGAAGGACCTCAGTTCACCCAACCCAACCCAAACTTGGTGACCTCCAGACCCGTTGAGTTACAATTTCCATAATTTTGTGCCATAGCTTAATTGAGCTGCCTTACCAGTCTGTAGGTACAAAGGCAAGGCACAGATTAAAGGAATAATTCACAAGTATTATTTATCAGGAAGAGAAATTCACCCTTGAATATCCTTCTCCTCCTCTTCCTCCTTCTCCCTCATTTATTATTGAATTTATACCCCTCCTTTCTGTTTATGCAAACAAGGCAGCTGAGAGAGAGAGAGAGAGAGAGAAATAACATCACTGCAATTACAATTAAAACTGAAAATCTTAGTATTACTATTTTTCCTTCCTTCCTTCCTGACTCTCCCCTTGCTGTGAACGTAATACAGAAAGAGACAGAGGTATCAACTTCATAATTCATCTAAGTTACAACGATGGGAATTGTTCTCTGCTCACAGTTGGTTTTGACTGGACCCCTTGTAAACCTTGTGAAATAAATAAGTAAAATACGTACATCTAACAGCAGAGCTGGACTGTGAGGATAGGTAACTAAATCAGGAATGCAGAGAAGCAAAGGAGAGGTTGGGCACCTTGGGGTAAACCTTGAGGACCACAGAAAAAGTAAACAGAATTTTGAACCAATCTCAGCAACTTTAAGATGGGTGGACTTCAACTCCCAGAATTCTCCAGCTGGCATGCTTTAAGACATGTGGACTTCAACTCCCAGAATTCCCCAGC